CATCGTATATATATATATATACGTGTGTAAATATATATGTAAATATATACACTCACAATAATAGTCTCGTAGAATATTTCTTATTAATAATATATAAGAAAGAGATAAGCTTTTACGAATATTTTTTAATCTCACGAGAGGAAGGGTATTTGTTTTTTTTTCTTTTTATATGCATATATATACTTATACATGTGTACACACAAGCATCGTATATATATATATATACGTGTGTAAATATATGAGTATATATATACATTATATATCGGCGTATATAGGGTCCAAAGTACAGAGTGGTTCAAAAGTTATTAGATCATTATAAAAATTAATGGAAAACACTTTAAAAAGAGTCCATTGTTGTTAAAAACAAAATGTTGACAATTTGAAGAAGGAATAATTTAGAAAAAAATTAATTTAAAATAATATTACCAAAAGAAATATATTTATTATTTATGTAATAATATATATATATATATATATAAATATGTTTATAATTTTGTTAATATATCAAATGCGATTATTTTCTGTTCAAATGGTCTAATCACTTTTGAACCATACTCAAAATATATTTACGTAACATATAACGTAACTATAACGTTGTATCGAAAGAAAAAGAATCTTGATTGGCATCGTGTAAAAACAAAACAAAACAAAACAAAAAAAATTTGAAATGTGAACTAACGCTAAATACTCGTGGAATGAATTAAACAATAAAATTGTTTATGTAAATTATTGACGGACACGATGCTTCTTCGTAGGGTTTCTTTCATCGTCGTATTTTAAAAAGTGACGGTCCATAGGACCACAATTTCATCTTAGTATAATATTAATTACGCGTACATTCATTCTTAATATATTTTTGAGTTAAATGTAGAAAAGAGAGGAAAAGCAAAAGAAAGAAAAAAAGCACACACACACACACACACACAGAAAAAAATGAAAATTTGACTACGCTGTCATTTGGAAAAGAGTCGATATCGTTTAAATAAATATACACAATTACACACGCTTATTACGAGTATGTGTGCGCGCGTCTAAGATG